TTGTCGTCAACATGTCGTCGGGCAAGCACATTACGTTCCTCGACACGCCGGGCCACGCGGCGTTCCTCACGATGCGACAGCGCGGCGCCCACGTCACGGACATTGTCGTGCTCGTCGTGGCGGCCGACGACAGCGTCAAGCCGCAGACGCTCGAAGCCATCAAGCACGCCCGCGCCGCCAAGGTGCCCATGATTGTGGCCATCAACAAGGTCGACAAGGAGGACGCGCGCGTCGACCAGGTCAAGTCGGACCTCGCGCGGCACGGCGTCGAGATTGAGGACTTTGGCGGCGACGTGCAGGTCGTGTGCGTCAGCGGCAAGACGGGCCAGGGCATGGACGACCTCGAGGAGAACATTGCGACGCTGTCGGAGATTCTCGACGTGCGCGCCGAGGCCGACGGCCTGTGCGAGGGCTGGGTGCTCGAGGCGAGCGTCAAGCAGGACGGCAAGGCGGCGACGGTGCTCGTCAAGCGCGGCACGCTGCGCCCCGGCGACAGCCTCGTCGCCGGCACGGCGCGCGCCCGCGTGCGGCTGCTGCGCAACGAAGCCGGCGTCGAGCTCGCCGAGGCCCCGCCCGGCACCCCCGTCGAGATTCTCGGCTGGCGCGACGAGCTCCCCGCCGCCGGCGACGCCGTGCTGCAGGCGCCCGACGAGGAGCGCGCGCGCAAGGCCGTCGAGTACCGCACCGAGATGCGCTACCGCGAGGAGTCGTCGCGGCAGCTCGTCGAGCAGGAGGCGCGCGAGCGCGAGCGCAAGGCGGCCGAGGAGGCTACGGACCAACACAGCGGCGAGAGCGAAGGCGATGCTGCTGCCGGCGGCACCAAGACGGTCACGTTCACGGTGCGCGGCGACGTCGTCGGCTCGGTCGAGGCCGTCTGCGCGACGATCCAGGAGCTCGGCAACCACGAGGTCAAGCCGCGGATCCTGCGCTCGGCCGTCGGCCAGGTGTCCGAGTCGGACGTCGAGCACGCCGCCACGTCCGGCAGCGTCATAGTCAACTTCAACGCGCCCGTCGCGCCGCACATCAAGCGCCTCGCCGACGCCGCCGGCGTGCGCCTCATCGCCCACAGCGTCATCTACCACCTCGCCGACGAGGTCCGCCAGACCCTCTCCGACCAGCTCGCCGACGTTGTCTCGACAAAGGTCGTCGGCGAGGCCGAGGTCCTGCAGATCTTCCCCATCAACACAAAGGGCCGCGCCTTCCGCAACATTGCCGGCTGCAAGATCCGGAACGGCCTCGTCAGCCGGACGGCCATGGTGCGCGTGCTGCGGAGGGGGGAGACGGTGTTTGAGGGTGCGTTACTGTCCTTCTTTCCTTGTTTCCTCGTTTCCTCTTGATGTCTCGTTTCCTCTTGATGTCTCGTTTCCTCTTGATGTCTCGTTTCCTTGTTTCCTCTTCTTTGGTTTCCCGAGTCTGACCCGGCTAACACGGCAACGCGCAGGCAAAATCGACGCCCTCAAGCACGGCAAGAAGGACGTCACGGAGATGCGCAAGGGCACCGAGTGCGGCATCTCGTTTGAGGGGTACCAGGACTTCCAGGTCGGCGACCAGGTGCAGACGTACGAGGAGGTGCGGGAGAAGAGGACGCTTTAAGATGCAGGGTCGAGACGCTGTAAGATGCAGGGTCGAGACGCTGTAGGATGCATGATCGAGACGCTGTAGGATGCATGATCGAGACGCTGTAGGATGCGTGTGATGGTGTCGAGGATTGTACGATGATGTGTACTACTACGGCCCTGCAGGGATATAGAGGTGATATACTCAGTCGACTGAGGGAATGTGCAGATGTAAACACGGCTAGATGATACTAGTCTGTACTGGTTAGGCCAGCAGGTTGAAGTTCTTTCACATGGCCTTGGGCGTGAACGAGCATGGCGAAGTGAAACATCAGACTCTACTAGATGAATATAATAGATTGCCAGACCTGTCGCTCATGCCAGCGTAGGGTCTAGACTGTTCACTGCGGTCGAGCTACAAAAGACTAAGCACCATAGAGGGATGTATCATGACTACAACCAGTCGCCTTGATGCCAGGTTATGACCTGTACTTTTCACTGTACGCCGAGCTCAAACAAAAGACTAAGCACTTGAGATAGAGAGGTATATCGTTCTTTTAACCTGTCGCTCATGCCAGGCTAGGATCTATACTTTTCACTACGAGTTAAGTTTATATAAAACACTAAACACCCCAGAGAGAGATGTTGTTCCTTCAACCTATCACCGTAATCAGGCTAGGATCTATACTTCTCACTGCGAGTCAAGCTTACACACAAAAGTAAACACCCCCGCGAGAAGATATATCATGACTTCAACCTGTCACCTCAATACCAGGTTATAATCTATACTTTTCACTATACGCTGAGCTCAAACAAGAGACTAAGCATTTTAGATCGAGAGATATATCGTTCTTTTAACCTATCACCCCAATGTCAGCGAATGATGTATACTTTTCACAACGAGTCTAGCTTGAACAAAAGACTAAGCATCCCGAGAGAAGATATATTAACTTTAACCTATGGCTTTAAGGCTGGGCCAGGATGCATACTTTTCACTGTAGGCTGGGCTCCAGAAACTTAGCACTCCCGAGAGATATATCATTAGTTGAACCTATGACCTCAATATCAAGTCATGATCTACACTTTTCATTACCAGTCAACTCGCAAAAAGACCAAGCACCCAGATATAGAGATATCATTGCTTGGCCTGTCGCCTCAATGCCAGGCTAGGATTTACTTCTCACCGAGTCGAGCTACAACAGACGACGCACCCAAGAGATATCATTCCTCCAACCTGTCATACACCCACCAAGCTGCTCGTCAACCAGGCGGGCTTGGAGTCAAGTCGGAAGAATTTCAACAACCAGCAATAGGATTATCCTTCCAAATCTTACCTCTACCGCCTCATATCTAGACTTCTCTTGCACGCAGTCCGCAGGATACCCGAACTCAACCTGCATGTTAGAGGCCGTCGCTAATGTTAGAGCCTGTCGCTACAATTAGAGCCTGTCGCTAATGTGAGAGCCTGTCACAACATCTGGCCTCCAGCCAACCTGACATACCCTCACAAACGCAGTCTGACAAAATCACCGAAGCAGGACATCAAACATCCCATCTCAAAGCACCTAGATTCTTCCCCCCTCCCCTTCTACTACAGGCTTTTCACCCGCGCCCCGACCTTCACCCTACGCAATGCTAAACTCAGACACGGCCCCCGCCTCGTTCCGCAGCGCGCCGCCGACCTTGTACGACACCCGGAACCGAAGCTTCAGCGCCTCGACCTTGCGGCTCCTGTCGCCGGCGTGGTTGACCTCGACCGTCTGCGTGACGCCGCGGCTCTGCTTGGGCTCGAGCGCGACGCCCGTCTGCGGGCTGATTTTGATCTCGTAGCCCTGCGCGCGTTAGCGTTACGAATCACACGGCACAATCTGCACAGTCACAATCTGCAGGCAGAAAATCCGACCTGCAGGCAGAAAGACGCACCTTGGTCACGGCCACCTGGTAGTGCAGCTCCGTCACGGGCTGCGCCGTCGTGTTGGAAAAGGCAAAGACAATGTTCATGGCGCTGCTGTTGGCCGTGGTGCGGTTGGCGAGCATCTCGATCCTGACGCCGCCGTCGCTGACGACGGCCCTGTGCTCGCGCGGCTGCGTCGGCGCCGCGGCCTGGGGCAGGGCCGAGGCGAAGGACCACTCGTCGTCGTCGTTATTGGACGTGGGCGCCGCCGCGGCGGGGACCGGCGTCGTCGACTGCGGCGGGGAGAAGCTGGCGCCGAGGGCGGCAAAGGGGTCGGAGGCTGGGGCCGGGGGTGGCGGCTGGTTGAAGATGTAGTTGGCTTGCGGTTGCGGGGTGCCGGACTGCGAGGCCGAGGGCGAGGTGAAGGAGGAGAGGGTGGCGAAGCCGGGGGGAGGGGCGGCAGGGCTGGCGGTGGCGGACTTGGCCGTCTGGCCTTCGTTCAGGGACGAGAGCAACGCGGGGCCGGGAATATCTGGCGCGCGCCTGCTGTTAGTCTCTTGTCACAAACATCCTAGGCGAAGAAGCTCAACTCACTCGTGTTGCTGCCGAAACCCAGCGACAGGGCGCCACCTTGGCCAAAGTTTTCCGTCTCGCCAATGGACAAACCAAGCAGGTCGTTCTCGACGCTGCCGCCAGACTGCGACGGCTGCGCGGAGGAGGAAGTGCCGTTCGACGGCACCTCGGCGTCAAAGTCGATCAGAGAGAGCTCCTGCGCGGCGCTCTTGGCGTTGCTCGTCGACGACGACGACATGGCCGCCGCCGCAGACAGAGGGGCACCGCTCGCGAGCTTCTTGGCCGACTCGAGGTCGCCCTTCTTCATGAGCTTGTAGCGCTCGACGGTCCTGTGGATGCTGTCGTTGATCTCGAGCAGCTTGGCGACGGCCTCGTGGTCGTCCGACTCCTCCTCGCACATTTTCTTAATCTTGGGCTGGGCGCTCTGCAGCGACGAGGCGAGCTCCGAGTAGACGTCGCCGTCCTGCATGGTGTCGCCCTGCTGGAAGGCCTCGAGGCGCTCCTCGAGCAGCCTCGCCTTGGCCTGGATCTTGCTGACCTCCTGGGCGGCCTTGGCGCGGTAGTCTGTCTTGGTGCGCGTGTCGAAGCCGGCCATGATCTTCATGAGGCGGTTGGCCTCCTGCAGGTCCTCGGGCTGGCCGCGTCGGATGAGCTCCTGGAGCTTGGCCGACTGGGCCTCTTTTTCCTCCTCCTCCATCTCTTCGGCCGATTTGAGGTTCTGCCACGGTCAGCATGGTTCGGTGTAGGAGGCAGAATGGCCCCGGAAGACGGCAGCCTCGAAGCAGAGGCAGCCTCGAAGCAGAATTGGGGTAGCCTGGAAGAAGCACGTACGTCGCTCGGGTTCAGCACGGCGGCGTCGTCGCGGCGGACCTCGGGAAAGGTGTAGCCCTTGTAGCTCAGCAGGCGGTGCATGTCGCGGATGAAGCCGAGGTCCTCCTTGTAGCGGCTCGTCTCGCAGATGGTACTCCTCCACTCCTCAATGGCCTCGAGGATCTTCATCTGGACGCGGGTGGCGCGCAGGGGCGGGCGTTCGGGGAAGCGGCGGACGAGCTCGTTGAGGAACTCCTTGGTGCTGATCTGCAGGTGGAAGGGGTAGCCGCAGTTCTTGACGCAAATGTCGAGCAGGTGGAGGGCGAGCAGGGCGACGCTGGGGTTGCGGTGGTTGATGTAGCTGACGATGGAGACGACGGCCTCGCGCGGGGCCGAGCCCTTTTTCGAGTTGATGAGGTCGGCAATCTCGAGGTTCAGCGCGAGGTTCGGCTCGTAGTTCTCCGGGCTGCAGGCGCCCTGGATGAAGCGCTGGAGCTGCGAGGGCGTCGGGCGGCCGAGCTCGCCCCATCGGTCCCGCGCCGCCGCCCGCGATGATGCGGCCTCCATCGCTTGGCTCGTTGTGTCTGTATGGATCGTTTGTGTATGGTCTGCTGTGTATGGTCTGCTGTATGGGTGTGGGATCGTGGCCTCGAAGGTGGCAGCGGAGGATGGAGGAACAGGTGGAGGAGAGGATGCCGACTCGAGCGGCGGTAACTGTGCTGGCTGTCGATGGGTGATGAGATTGATCAAAGACGACAAGTGGCAAGAAAAAGCAGCTTGACGCTCGAGGGTTGGACGCTGCAGATGCAGGTGTAGACACGAGCGAAGGCACGAGGTGGCAGAGGTGGCAGAGGTGGCAGAGAGTGGGCGTGATGTGGACAATGGATGCTGGCCGCTCGGCATCGAGGGGTTCCATGATAGCCTGGCCGCTTAGGCTGTGCAGTGCTGTTCCTGGAGCTTGGAGCGCCAAGCTGGTGCTGTTCGCTGGTTAGTTGCATAGCAGCTGCATAAACGGGATGAGCCTCGGAGTACAAGGACCCAGGCACCTCCTACCCAAGTTATGTAGGTAGGTACCTTAACTACCTAGGCAAACAGGCTGCGTGCTGGGAAGCCTGGGAGGCTAAAGCGGCGAGACTCGAACCCTGGAGGGGCATCACTACCCCGCCACGCCAGGGACGTTCACTTCATCGAGAGCCTAAATTTCATGACTATTGCATTTTGTCTATTCCATCTTCAGATCCTCTCGATTTCTGATCTCCACCTCACCCTTGTCCAACTGTCGCTTTCCACGCTGACTTGGACTTCTCTCGAATTCTCTTTCTCTCTCCCTCTCTCTCGACCTCTCTCTCGACCTCCCCTCTCGACCTCCCCCCATGGTCCGCCACAAGAAGGACAAGTTCGCCTCGCGCGGCCGCCCCCACGGACCCCCCCGAAACCGACCCCGCGGCGACAACCTCGACGGCGAGGACGACGACCCGACTCGCGCGCGCCCGACCTTGAAAGCCGCCTGCTGGGACCTCGGCCACTGCGACCCGAAACGCTGCTCCGGCAAGCGCCTCATCCGCCAGGGCCTCATGCGCGACCTGCACCTCGGCCAGCGCTTCAACGGCGTCATCATCACGCCCAACGGCAAGCATGTCGTCTCGCCGCGCGACAGCGACCTGCTGCACGCCCACGGCGCCGCCGTCGTCGAGTGCAGCTGGGCCCGCACCCACGAGGTCCAGTGGGGCAAGGTCGGCGGCAAGTGCGAGCGCCTGCTGCCCTACCTCGTCGCCGCCAACACGGTCAACTACGGCAAGCCGTGGCGTCTCAACTGCGCCGAGGCCCTGGCCGCTGCCTTTTACATCTGCGGCAAGCCCGACTGGGCCGAGCAGGTCCTCGCCCCCTTCTCCTACGGCGCCTCCTTTCTCGAGATTAACGGCAGTCTGCTGAAGCGCTATGCCGCCTGCGAGAACGAGCGGGCCGTGAAGCAGGTCGAGGACGACTGGATGGCGAGGCTCGAGAAGGAGTACGCCGACAGCCGCGAGGACGGCGACGATGTCTGGGCCGGCGGCAACGTCAACCGGCGGGCGCTCATTCCTTCGGACGAGGAGGAGGAGGAGGACGACGACGACGGTGATGAGTCGGCTGATGGCAAGAAGAGGGCAGATGACGACGACGATGACGAGATGGATGGCATATACCTGGGCCACAATGGCGCGACGAAAGCCGCGAAGAAGAACAAGGCAAATCAAACAGACGACGACGACGACGACGACGACGACGAGAGAGACCCCTACGCCTTGTCCGACGACAGCGACGAAGACGCAGCCATGGAGGAGATCCGGCGCAAGGTGCTCGCCTCCAAAACATTCGCCAATCCCCAGGCATCCGAAAAGAAGAAACCCGACACGATCGCGAGGCCGCAGCAGCTGAAACCCGACTCGGATATCGAGCCGGACAGCGACAATGGCGAGGACGACGACGACTTTGACAACATTATCAACGCGACGCCTGTAACGGACAGGATAGGGCTTGCCAAGTTGGAGAAGGAGCGCTCACAGGCCACTGTGACGAGCAGGACGTACTCGACGAACGTGACATCAGCGCCGGGCCGGTGGTAGTTCAATACATTTGTCGAAGCGCTTGCTCAGCATGTCATTTCAGTGATGATTCTGTTTCGTGCCGAGGTGATTCTGTTGGGTGCCGATAGCAGTCTGTGACTGGGTTCTGGCAAGACAACCGCGTTGTCTCTGGGCTCGTCAGCCCGTGTTGCCCCAAGACTGAATGAGTTCGCGCTATACTCGTTTATGCTTCACAGAAAGGCCGTGCTAGAATGGTATGGCCCATGTCATGCCAGGTGAGCCGTCTGCTCTTGATTCAGGGGTTCTGCTTTTGCAGAGCCGCGGTGAAAACGGCCAGGCTGGGACGACAACGGTGAAATTGACAGCCGGTCTGTGACAATCACAGAAGTGAAGAACCATGACAGCATAACTTTCAGTGACACATATGGTGCACAAACCTTGCTGTTCGCGGCAGACGCAAAGTTATTGAAGCCCTGTTGGGATTGACAGGCTCTATCCGTCAAGCAGATCCATGGCCTCGACCTCGAAAGCTCGTAAGTTGTTTCTGACCAGTAGACACTGTTTGCGCGTTGGAACGATACAGCAGGTGTAATGGCTTGTTCATCTCTCTGGATGGACTCTTTAGGATTCTACTGGTGACAGCATGATGGAAATGACAGGAAGTGACTTTCACTTCGTTTCTCAGTAAACGGTCTTCCCGGTGGATGTCTTGTCTGTAGTGTTTGAGCAGATTGAGGCGGTTTTACGAAGAATGCCCCATGGCAAATATACACTGAGCCCAACATGTAATGTTGAAGCTATCAATCATGAGGTAACATGTGTACTCCTTTCCATGATGCAGCTGGTATTTCGCCACGGCATACGGGACTGTAGCAACAAGGCATCGCTGGGCAACCGAGGTCAAGTATTGTCACATCCAGAAGGAAGCCTGGCCAGGCATCAACACGGCCCAGTGAATGTGGCCTCACCAGTCACCTGTGAACATGCACCCTGTTGGCCCAAGGCAACAACCTTTATAGGCTTCCAACCAATGTCTTCCCACCGCCGGAACCGCGAGGATGGCCGCATGGCCTAGCGGTAAGGCTTCAAGAGCATCCAAACTGCAGGCACCATATAAGGCACCCTGGCAACAAACTACTTACGGCAAAAAAGAAGAGGGCAGGTTCGAATCCTGAGAGAAGTAGATGTCCTACGCGGCATCGAACTCTTTTGCTTTTTGCCACGCACCATGCAATGAATGAAATGCATCTGGCTGCTTTTTCCTCAATCGGTTCCTTTGAGCTCTTGTATTTTTAGCACTTTTCGTAATGTTTTGCACTGCTGATGCCAAACATCTCGACATGTTCGTGGCCTGCATTCTTGGTGTTTTCGCGTGACGTCGGTCCCGTGCGGGTCGCCACTTTAGACCCCTGCTTCTGCATTCAGCATTCTACCTCAACATCAGACAGCTTTTCTACCTTGCCAACCGACAACCTCAATTTGCCGGGCGCATTTGCAGAAAAACGTCCAACGACCACACAGCAATGGGCTCCGACGAAGGCTCCCGCGAGCGTCCCGCAAGGAGTAGTCGCCACCGCGACGAGGACGACCGGCCGCGAAAATCCGACCGCGACGCGCACCGCAGGCGAAGCAGAGACCGCGACTCGGACCGGCGCAGAGATCGCTCGCGATCGAGAGAACCGAGGAGGAAAGAGAGACGCCGCTCACACACGCCCGACTCGTCACGCCGCCACCGTGACCGCCATCGCGACGACGACAGCGACCGCCACCGCGACGACGACAGCGACCGCCACCGCGACAGAGACGCAGACCGCGGCGACCGTCACCGGAGACGCAGATCCCCAGACGCCGCCGGCAGCAGAAGCAAAAGCGAACCAGACCGGCACGCGAAGCGCCGCGCCTCGCCCTCGCCCTCGCCGCTCCGCCGCCAGGGCCCGCTGCCGTCGCAGACGGACTCGTTCGCCGTGACGACGGGCGACGCGGCGGCGCAGCCCAAGGAGCAGCCGAACTTTGGCAACAGCGGCGCGCTGGCGGCGGCGTCGAACGCGGTGCAGCAGGCGGACGGCACGTCGATTGTGCTCAAGTACCACGAGCCGCCCGAGGCGCGCAAGCCGCCGGCCAGGGACGACTGGAAGCTGTTCGTCTTCAAGGGCCCCGACGTGCTCGATACGGTTGGCCTCGGCGCGCGGAGCTGCTGGCTTGTCGGCCGGGAGGTGGCGGTTGTGGACCTGGCGGCCGAGCATCCGAGCGTCAGCAAGCAGCATGCTGCTATCCAGTTTCGCTTTGTCGAGAAGAGGAATGAGTTTGGGGACCGCATTGGCAGGGTCAAGCCGTACTTGATCGATCTCGAGAGTGCCAATGGCACGGAGCTCAATGGGAAGAAGGTCGCCGAGAGCCGGTACGTTGAGCTGAGGCACAAGGACATGGTCAAGTTTGGGCACAGCACGAGGGAGTACGTGATCATGCTGGCGCCGAAGTGAGGGTCAGCATGTTGGCCAAGCATGTTGGCTGTCCCTGTGGTAGATGTGTAATTGGAACCAACGATACCCTGCAGGCGCGTGCTACGTTTGGCTGTGAATGACTTGACAAGCTGATGGCAACTTTGGCTCGGGGTGGCTGTCCTGCAGAATCGATGGCTTTGTTCTCCAACACAGTTGTTCTCAAACACAGTTGTTCTCCAACACAAGGCGTCCGCAGCAGCAGTTGGCACGAGCACTGCCGTTGCGAAGCGTGTGTAGATGTCGACACGCTGAACAGCGCCAATGGCTTACCGGTTGTTGAGATGAATTCTCCCTGGCCGACACATTGACGATGAATCACGATATTTTGAGAGTTATAAAGAGCCAACTGGCCAGCTGCCCTACGTTCTCTCTGCAACATGCTTCTTCCTCATCAGACTACCTCTACACAAGCAACCGCAACAAGTACGTGCCACTCCCCCAAACTAACATATTCGGCAGGTCTGAATATCCCCAAGATGTTGAACATCATGTCTCCCCTCATGACGCTGGTCGCCATCCTCGCGCTCCTGCCCCAAGGTCAAGGTTTGGTGATCCCCGGCTTCCTCAACCTCACCAGCCTCGCCCCTGTCCCTACGCAGGTATTTACCATTTTGCCCTACCCCAAGCACACGCCAACCACGCCGATGCAGCCACGGGACTTCACCATCCTGCCTTATCCCCTGCATCGCACAACCAGCAAGACGACGACCTTCATGACGCAGACGACTCCCACGTCGCAAGGCGCAACCGCAACCGCAACCGCAACCGCAACCGTAACCACAACCCCGACGCCCCCGTTCATAGCCGCCCCCCGCCAAGCCGTAGACGTCGATCCCATAACCCCCATCTCCTGGCACGAAGCCAGCCACGGCAACAACATCTGCGGCCCCTCGTCCTTCGTCCCGCACACGTCAAGCCTCTCCCCCCTCGCAGCCGACTGTCTCGCCCTGGCCGCCGCCCTGCGCGCGAGAAAAGGCTACTTCGTCGCCCGCGGCTTCACCGACACGACGACCCTCGTCGGCCTCGCGACGGAAGGAAGCTGCATCTTCGGCGTCCGGCCCGCGACGCCGTCCCACTTCCACGGGGTCATCGGTGCGCTCGACGCCGCCGCGTTTCTCGACGACGCCGTCCGGGACTTGTCGTCGCCTGCGGGCGGCGCGATGGCCGGGGATGGGTCGTGGATGGCCGGTGGGCTTGTGGGCGCCAGCGGCGTGACGGCGTGTGAGCTTGGCGGCGGCGGGAAGCAGGCGCTGGTTTGGGCCGTCTATGCTGCTGGACAGGAATGGCATGTTGGGCACGTGGATGTGCCTGTTGAGGTACCGGGTGCGGGCTGCGCGATGGACATGGGGCGTTGGGGTGTTGTTGCGATGCTGGCGTCGCTGGCGGTGTTGCTTTAGCATTTGAGCATTTGAGCATTTCAGCAAGTCGAGGACATCGAGGACATCGAGGACTCGAGGATGAACGAGCTATAGGATGTCAGCGGAAATCCAGCTGCTGACGAGTCCTTTGGCAGTGTCTCTGGAGCTCTGGTCGGAATCGGATGTTGCTGGCCTAGCGTACTTCCAGCGACTGCAAATAGTGGCATGCTCAATACCAAAGAGGACAGGCATAGATAAAGAAAGCAAATTACTACATTAACTCTTCCCTTCTTGACCATAATGTCGTGCACTGCCCAAACGCCAGACCATCTCTGCCGTCCGTGGCAGAGAATGCATGCGCCGTCTATGCGGTCCTCGTCTTCTTGCTCCGCGATGCAAAGTCAAGCCACTTCTTGTACTCGTCATACTCTAGACTCTCCTTCTTGCCCTGGTACCGCACGACCTTGAGCTCGACCTCCCGCCACGTCTCCCTGCGGCCCGTCCAGCCGGCCTTGCGCATCAGGCTCACGAGCGTCTCCTCCTTGGTCCACTCCTGCTCGACAGCGACGTCGGGCAGGTAGGTGGCGCCGTAGCGGCGGCCCTTGGCCGCGAAGCTGATGCGCAGGCCGTGCACGCCGAGGGTCCAGTCCATGGCGTCGTCGCAGTCCTCGAACTCGGTCAGCAGCGTCACGGCGACCTCGAGCGTCGGCAGCTCGGACGCGGCCACGGGCGGGAACCGCGTGTCGTGCAGCGCCGACGTCAGGGCGTACTCGGACAGGCCGGCGTCGAGGTCCTGCGCCTCGAAGGTGCCGATGCAGCCGCGCAGCGAGCGGTGGCGCGACGGCCCGCCGGCGACCGTGTTCCAGGTCACGAAGAGCGGCGACTCGGTCACGAGGGACGGCAGCGAGGCCGTCGAGGTGGCGGGCGTGTCGGCGGACAGGGACACGCTGCTTGACGAGCCGGACGACGCGGAGCCGGCGTCGCTTGACTTGGACGGCTCGGTCAGGCGCTGGAGGGCGGGCATCTGCTTCTTGCTGCTTGGCTCGGGCTGCGACTTGGCGTACTCGGCCCATGACTGCTGGATCTCGTCGAGGGAGCGGCCCTTGCGGCGCTCGAGGTGCGAAGCGAGGGCCTCGAAGCAATAGAGACAGTGTTCGATGGAAGCCATGAGCTGTGGGAGCCGACGGGCTGGAGTCTTTGGGCTATCTAGTTCCTTTGCCCGGTCAAGGTTTTGCCCGGTCGAGATTTACCCAGTCAATATTTTGCCGGTCAAGAGAAGGTGGAGAGCCAAACGACGCAGTGCTCAACCGAGTGTCACGAGAAGCAGGTGATCAGGCAATGAGGGGAAGTGATGGTGTTTGAGGCAGGCACAGCGATGGCCGTGACCTGACGCGGGGAACGTCATCATGTCACACAGCGTGAAGTGGGAAGGAGAGGCGGGGGCGGGGTGCAGCTCTGTGCATTGCATATTCAGGGCATGCATGATAATGCTTGATGCGAGGCATGCATGATGTGAGGCATGCATGATGCGAGGCGATCCCATCTTCGTGATGACTGAATTGCCCAAAGTGGAAGCTGCCCCAATCAACAACGTTGAAGCCCCAACAACAACGTTGCGAGTTTGAAGCTTCTTCGTCTGTTACGGGAAACAACAACACTCCCTGGCACTGACAACCTGGGTTGTTGACGACATGAAGCGGCTCTGGCCCTGCTCGTAGCCTCCGATGGCCAGCCGATCTAACTTGACCCGTTCACATGCGAAGTACTGTCGAACCTTCGTGATGACCGATCGTCGTGTCATGAACCTAGTCACTCGGACCGCAAGAAAGCACCCTGAGATGCACCATCTCCTGTGTAGCCGGACTCGACCAGACTTCCCTGAAACACAATATATGTACGTGGGCACACAATTCGTGGGCCAACGGGTCGATCTGCAACGTCTGCGTCTGCCGAACTGTCAAAGATCGAGGTCCCACGAAAGCACTGCCCTAGGGGTGGCTCAACCACTTGCTCTTGCAGCCAGCGATGGAGCAGAGGACTTCTGATTGGCATGCCGGGCAGTTGAAATGCAGTCAAGCAAAGTCCGGGGAAGGGCAAGTATCGACATAGGACAGGGACCTCGATAATCAACTCGATGACAACCCGTGCCGAGACAAACAAACTAAACCATCCCCGCTACATCAAGCTGGCCCGCTGCCCAACACCCGAGACCGCCGGTCGATCGTATCTCTTCTTTGCCAGCCACGTGAGCTCTTCACCGACCACAACAACGCACTCGTTGCGTAGCCCTGCCGAGAATACAACCCCATCACAGCGCGGCATCCCCTACGGGCGCGCACTCTCTCCGGGCCCGCCACCTCTGCCCCGCAGTCTCGTGCGGGTAAACTACCTGGCGTGAGCCCTCGCAACTGCCGGGCTGTTCTGCCAATCACCCGTCTCCATGTTTCTGCTGTGAGTCCCCTGGCGCCATCACTCCATCGCGAAAGGTTATTGTCCATGTAACATGGATGAACGATGTTCTCTTCATGCACGTCGGCGCGAGTCAGGGCCCTGATTGCCGACAGTCCGGTATATCCGACGACCTGCATTGGGCGCTGAACAACGACATGATGGAATCGAGTATAAAACGTCTGGCACAGAATCATCTCGAAACGAATTCAATAGCATCCTCCATTCATCTGAACCCAAACAGATAAAACACCCCTCTACTCACAATGTCCAAAGTCTGGTTCATCACAGGCACCTCCCGCGGACTCGGGCGAGCCCTCGTCGACCACGCCCTTGCACAAGGCGACAAGGTCGTCGCCACGGCGCGCAACCCCAAAGCCCTCGAGCCCCTCCAAGCGCAGTATCCCGACACGCTGTTCTTGTACCCCCTCGACGTCACAGACGCATCGGCCGCGCGCGCCGCCGTCGCCGCCGCGCTCGACAAGTTCGACCACATTGACATCCTCGTCAACAACGCCGGCTACGCCAACATAGCCTCGGTCGAGCACATGGCCGACGACGACTTCCGCGCCCAGGTCGACACAAACTTCTTCGGCGTCGTCAACGTCACCAAGGCGGTGCTGCCGCACTTCCGCGCCCGTCGCGCCGGGCACGTCTTCCAGGTGTCCTCGATCGCCAGCCGAAGCGGCACGCCCGGGCTGTCGGCATACCAGGCCTCCAAGTTTGCCGTGAGCGGCTTCTCCATCTCGCTCGCTTCCGAGGTTGCGCCCTTTAACGTCAAGGTCACCTCCCTCGAGCCCGGCGCCATGCAGACGGACTGGATGGGCTCGTCGATGAAGGTGCACGATATCGACGAGGCGTACCGCGAGACTGTGGGCTCGATTGCAGGGCACGTCGGCAACCTGGAGAGCGGCGGGGTGGCGGCGTCCGGCGGATCGGACATTGCCAAGATCGGCGCCGTCATCGAGACGCTGTACAAGGCTGATGATCCGCCTGTGCGGGTGCTCTTGGGGAAGGACGCCGTGAACTACGGGCTGCATTTCAGTCAGCAGCAGGCCGAGTCGGATGCTCGGTGGAGGGAGTTGAGCGAGTCGACATCGGTCTAGTGGAGCGATTGCACGTGAGCTTTATTGAAATGGCAAGATGATTTCCGCAGGTTGATTTCGACAGACTTGGCAAGGCAAGCCCGAGGTTCGGGAATTGTCATGGTCAACGCGCAATGCGAGCCAGACTTTGTTCAGTGAACCGAGTTTCGGTCAGTTTCCAGGTACAGGCCTGTTCAACATGTGACTGGTGTGACTTGATGGGCTGCGTGTCTGAGAGTACTACGCGTATAGCTTTATACTAGTGATTGTTAGCCTTTCAATGCAGCGGTGTTCAGGTCCGTGATGCGAGGCATATGGTAGTGACAGCTTCTTAGACAATGTTGCGTACAGCACGCCAACCCGAAACAAACCAACTGGTAACATGTCTGCATCATGGATGTACTGGAACACTGCCACCTGGACTTATCTTGGCGCGTCACAATGCCCTCACAGTGTTGAGGGATGAAATAACTACCACGTCGAGCGTTGAAAAATTTGTATGCCCTGAACTGTCGACAGAGCTTACTGATGCTGACTCTGACACCTTCTATCGTATGAAAAGGCAGAAACTGCAGGAAGAAGAGCAGGACTGATGAAGAACATTCCTTTGGAACTTTGGCTACCTGCATCACGGAAGCCACGGTCGTGAGGCAGCTGGTTGCCGTTCCTATACCTATTCCGGGTGCTTTACACACCAACAATTGGCATCCGACTCTGGTTCGCAACGCTGATGACACCCGGCCGATCGCTCCGCCGCGCCCCGGCGGTCGAGATAGGGGTGGGTCGATTCCCCCGCCATGCTTACGCACAGGGAGAATAAAATACGGCCGCGTTTCTCGTGTCCACGGCGCTCACGGCTTCGGCATGCCGACTTGTCGGACGCAGGGTGACAAACACGGACGTAGGGGGTCAACTTTGAGCGATGAACCTGCTGCGGAAGACGAATGATTCTGTCTGCTATTTTGTCCATGATCGTTCGTCTGTATCTGCACGAGAGGAGCGACACATACGACCTACAATAAAGGGCCTCATGTCCTTCACTCGTTCTGTGCCATTTTATCTTCAGCATGCACCTTGCATGCGTAGTTGGTGCGACTGTCATCTAGGGGGGTTCTGTATGGAAAGCGTCGCGGACCAATTCGAATCGGACTGTTCATGTCGCTGCCAGGAAGCCAGAGCGACGCATCAGAAAAGTTGGCAGAACGGGTTGTTGATCCCAGTAGAATCCCGCAGGAGACGTGGAAACCTCCCTGGCCAAGGCCGCATCTCGCACCTCGACTCTGCAACACCATGTCACGAGCTCGCTGCCGGCTGCCAGCATAGTATCCAGAGGCAAGCTCGCTGCCGGCTGCCAGCATAGTATCCAGAGGCAAGCTCGCTGCCGCCTTTCGTCTTCAAACATGCCGCCGTCCAGCGGATCGACGAGTCGCTCCCTGATCGCGCCGCCGAGACCACCCGCGTCTGGACAGGCTTCTACCCCTCGAATACGGCCTACGGCGGTGCGATGAAGTTTGTGCCCTTGGTCAGTCGCGCGACCGGGTCGCCTCGTGGAACACGGCAGAGACGCCCAGCTGACGGCAT